AAGAACACAAGCTGCCGATGGAAACGAACGCAGTTGGAAAACGTGATATTTCTTTCTTTTTTTCTGAAGCAGAGATATTCCGTAACTGGTACAATGATTTATTCGGACGTATCAGGTACAAAGCGGGTCTGGAAGATCCCATGATATTTTTGTCGATATTTTCTACAATTTCGAACTGAAGGTAATTTTTTTTGCATTTTTTCCTTTGAAGATAATTCCTAAAAGCTACTTTGCAAGAAAGTATCCAAACAAACCGAAGGATCGCGGGTTCGTATCCCGCGATGTCGTATTTTTGTGTCTGTGTATGCTCGTGTTTGTCCATTTCACCATTCATCACCATTTCTCCTCATCCCCCAGGTTTAACACCTCTGGGTGTAAAAACGGATTCAGCATAAAAATGCTGATCCCCCTTCCCCACTAAAGGCACGTGCTCCTACCCTCGATAAACATAACTGAGCCTCTGTGGGTAGCACGCTCGTGGTTCCGAGGTGGACAAAACGCGCCACATAAAATAAAAAAATAAAATAAAAAAGGATATTCCAATATTTGATTTCTCTATTTGGAAGAATAATTATCTCTTAAACAATTATGTTAATACTATTTATTTTATAATGACTGCTGCTCTAAATAAAAATTAGAAAATAAGTGGCCAATATTCATCGGGTATAAGTTATTGCCTGGCTCCAAATTATTTCTCAACTAAGATAATTTACATTGACTCAAACCGAGTACCAAGTTTTTTTTTTCTCTCATTCAACATTCTCATTCTCATTGTGCTGATACGTAAGAGTTGGCGTAGCTTCAATATAGTTAAGCTGTTTTCAATATAGTTACTATACTGTTAGTCAATACTGTAAATCAATGCCACGTTCAATCATCTGGCATGCATTTCACATTTTTCTAGGGCATCAGTTCCAAACAGTAATAAGAAGCGTTAAAAAGAGTTTTAATAAGAAAGTTAAATAAAAACTGTTAATTTTTCATGAGATACTCGTATTACTTTCATTACTTTTGGAGTGACCGGAAGCAAAAGAAACAATAAGGGTTTCACGGCTCTTCATATTTTCGCGTTTCATGTTACAGTGGGTTCACGTTCCAACAAGTAAAGTAAGTAACCACTATCTGAGTTTTCGGATGTTTTTCAAGATTATCTTACAGATAATATGTTCTCTTTCGTTTTATCGGATGCCTCAGATAAAAATTAAACTACATTTCCTTAACTTTAAAAAAATGGAATAAAAAATTCTCATTAACCCCCTTTGGTGATATTTAGTACGCAGTAATAAATCAAAAAAGAGAAATTGAGCTTTTAGATTTTTACGGACGATATTTTTTTATTGATATTGCGCGAAATTGTTAAAAAAGGTTTGCCCAGTGCAAGTAAATTTGATATTTTTAACATTTTTTCGTACAACAATATGGGAATACGAATGTAATCAGATTAGTATCAAGTAAATAAATTATAATGCGCAAAATAAAAGATAACTCATATACGCAATTTTAAATAATAGTAATAATAATAAGTTTGATATTGTTACTACATTAATCATCACGATAATAATTATTGTTATTGTTATTATTAATAGATGAAACTGTATAATTGAAAACAAACAACACATTAAGATAAACACAAAATTATGTAAACAAAAGTGTAAAAAATCATTTAAATCATACCCTATTCGCGTGTTCATCAATAAATGCCTTTTTTCTTTCTTTTTTTTTCTTAGAGATGTGAACGATGTTACTTCAGTTTTCTCACCCAGTAGTTCTAGCTGAGGGAAAAACGCTTGCCCGTGGTGAGTCAAATTTGTCGACATAATTAAAGCCAAAACCGTTTCTGAAATCCATTGGTGGTCGCCATATCGTCTGACATCTACACTTCAACATTGACCTATGACTCGCAGGTTTTCCCCATCCAGGTATCCCCCAGCGGGCCATCACCCCAATCGAGTGAAGCTCTAAATTTCTGAGTGAATTCCTGACATGTGTGATAATGTGTAATTGTGTGAATGAGGGGAGAGGAGGGGACAAGGATGAGGAAGGAAAGGTTACGCACGGCACGTTAGGGTACCGCCCCGACATTCACCTAGTACTGTTCAGAGGAACCATGGAAAATGATCGATCACAGCAGCCGGTCTCTTTCAGCCAGTAGCTGAATTCAACCCAGCCGTGAAGCGAGAATCGAAAATAACGCCACCGCCGAGACTCGAACCCTAAGCCCTCCCTCCTCCGCAGTGATAACGAACGTTGAACTGCCCCTCCGCATCACCAACCTGAAAACACTCAAGGGTCAAAAGAAAGTGGTCGAGCAGTACCGGCAAACCCTTTGCGCCTCGGCCGGTCGTTGACGCCCTAAGCCTCTCCGCGTCCGCCCACGTCCTTTGCCCGTCGCCCC